GACTGTCCTCTGTGCTTATCTTAGCAAGGGACAGGCTGGATTGTGATATTTCCCATGAGGTGTTGTTGGGCCATATGCAATCAGGGAAGGCCCCTGGTATTGATGGGATACCCATCAAGTTTTATACCTTTTACCAGGAGTTGTTGGTGCCCAGGTTCACTTTTCTCCTTGCTCAGTTCACTTCCCTGGGGTCTCTCCCAGAATCTGTCTGAGGCCCTTATAGTGTTGGTGCCCAAACCAGGCAAGGACCCTGAAGATTGTGCTTCCTATCGGTTGATTTCTTTGGTCAACGCTGAAGCCAAACTTTTAGCAAAAATGTTGGCCGTTCGCCTATTGACAGTGATGGACGATCTTATCCACATTGATCAAATGGGTTTTATGCCTGGTAAGGGCACAGTCATTAAAATTTCCTGCCTCTTTCCTAACTTGGCAACCACCCATGCTAATGGTGGCACTCGAGTCATAGCCTCTTTAGATGTTGAAAAGGCTTTCGACTCAGTTGAGTATGTGTCCATTTGGGAGGTACTGCATACATTTGGTTTTCAAAATGGTTGGGCATGCTCTTTAATGCTCCTCGAGCTAGGATCAGAACCAATGACCAATTGTCAGCCTGTACTTACATGACACAAACTCTTCTCTGCGGGTTGCACTTGACGTCATTGATGAATTTGGACATTTTTCTGAGGTTCGCATCAACTGGTCAAATCAGTCCTTTATCCTCTCAATCCCCAGGCTAGGAACTCTGCAGCTCCTACCTCGTTGATGTGGGCTGCTGAGTTCAAATATTTAGGCATACGGGTTTCTTCACCCCCCCCCCCCCCCCCCGCTGCTGTTACAGTTGAAGGAGTGGTGCACCACCTGTTCTACTTTGCCACTGAACCTGTAATTGCCCTATTTGGATAACTGGTACTTTCTTTAAGTTGCTTGACTGCTGTGTGGTTTCTTTCTTTCGGGGAGGCGGGGGACCCCCGCTTGGCAAGGTCCTCCCTCCAGTTGCCGGTACGTTGTGGAGATTTGGCACTACCTCATTTTTTGGTCTATTACTGGTCAGCTATTTTGGTCACTGTGTGATGGTGGTTCATGCTGTCCCGGGCTAATGCTGCGGTATGTCTCCAAGAGGCCCTGCTGGGTTCCCTCATGGAATTGAGTAATCTTGTATATAGAGGCCCTAGGGCTTACGCTTCCCTTCCACTCCCTAGGAAGGTCACGCTTTGTGTCTGCAACTAGGAAACGTTTTCTGCAGCCTCATCAGTGGTCCCCATATTGTCATTGCGGCAGGGCTGTACATAATTTTTTCTTCTGGGGGGGGGGGGAGGGTTCAGCTTGCAGCTGAGCTGCATTTTTACCACCCCCCAACTTCTCCCCCTTGAAGGAATGAAGGAAGGGAGGGGTGGATGGAAGGAAGAAAGGGTGGGTGGAAGGAAGGAAGGGGTGAGAGGAAGGTAGGAAGGGGTGAGAGGAAGGTAAGGAGGGGTGGGTGGAAGGAAGGAAAGGAGGTGGATGGAAGGAAGGGTGGGTGGAAGGAAGGGGGGTGGGTGGAAGGAAGGGGTAGGTGGGTGGAAGGGTGGGTGAAAGGAAGGGGTGGGTGGGTGGAAGGAAGGAATGGGTGGGTGGAAGGAAGGAGAGGAGGGAGGGGTGGAAGGAAGGAAGGGTGGGTGGAAGGAAAGGGTGGGATGGAAGGAAGGAAAGGAGGGGGGGGTAGAAGAAAGGGGTGGGTGAAAGGAAGGAAATAAGAGGTAGATGGGAGAGGTTGGTGAAAGGAAGGATGGGTGGTAGGGAAGGGTGGGTGGAAGGGAGTGTTGGAGGGGAGGGAGGGATGGAAGGAAGGGGTGGGTGGGAGGAATGGGTGGAGGGAAGGGTGGGTGGAAGGAAGGAAGGGGGGGAGGATGGAAGGAAGTGGAGGTGGAAGGATGGTTAGGTCAAACTCACCATGACTCCTTCAGAAGCATCAGAGCGGTGACTGTCGGCTCCTGTGTTCAGTTTCCCATCCACACCTCCTCTGAAGCTGCACGGACTGGAGTGTGGGCAGGCACAGAAAACCATTCTGCGCAGCAGTGGAGGTGGCAAGCAGTGCCGAGGCTAGGGGTGTGTGGGAGGGGCAGTAGTGGAGGCAGTGACAAGCAGCGATCTCCTGTATGGCTTTTAATGAAGCGGCTTCCAGCTGCTTAATTGAAAACCATACAGGAGATCGCTGCTTGTCACCACAACCACACACCCCTAGTCCCGGCACTGCTCGCCACCTCCACCTTATTTTGAGGGCTGTAGCCCGCAGGGATGGTTGGCAACTCTCCTCTGGGGGGGGGGGGGTTTGTTATGGTATCAGGATGGTTAAAGGCATCATGCCTATGGGTACCTAGCTATCAAATAGGGGTCTCTCCACTAAACATAGTTTATCTGGGTGTACTTTAGATATTATCAACTGCGCAATGCAGTGCGGGCACAATTTCCATCTCCTACCATACTGGAGACTGACCCAATAGAGGATCTTCTTGCGCAGGAGTCCCTTTCTAAACCTGTCTTCTCTTTATTTGGATCTTCTAAGCGTGGACTCCCCCAAGATGGATAGGTTGTCGGTGTAATGGCAGGACATTCCAACTGTGGATAGGGAAATATGGCAGGAATGTTTTGAAGATAGTTCCAAATTGGTGATTTCCTCTAGAGCCAAATTTCTGCACATGGTGTACTATACACCTCAGAGACTGCACAGAATGTACCCACAGAGGTCCACTGACTGTCCCCCCTGTCATTCCTGTGAGGGCACTTACTTTCATATGTTTTTGGGCCCGTCCTAAAGTGGAGCAATTTTGCACAGTGTTTACCTGTATTAATGCCTGTCTCAGGCTGTCCCTTTCCTTCTCCCCTGAACTTGCATTGTTGGGTATACAGGACGATGAACAGAAGCCTCCCCACAATAAATTTCTCCTTTCTTACCTGCTGTATTACGCCAAAAAAGGAGATACTTCGTAATTGGACCTCCCCACCCCTGAGGGGGCAGTGGCCTCGAGGGAAGCATCCATTAATGCAGTATTGCCTATGTACAAATTGACATATAGGGGTTGTCCTAGGAAGTTCGATAAGGTTTGGCAACCCTGGATGGAACAATGAACATGTTGCTCTGTTGTTTTGCATTATAACTGGTTGGATTGCCACGGACATTGATGGGAGTCCTATTCCTCTACACTTGACAGGTTGCGCCTTTACCTTGTATCTCTTGTTTTAGTTCTTTGGCCATTGTTGTCTTACTGTACTGCTTTGTACTGCTTGTGTGTTGCTGTTCTTGTACTATGCCATTATTTCAATAAACAACAATCCTGGCTGTTAAAAGTAGACTAGTGCAATAAAAAACAAGGCTCACAATGTTGAACCATCCTCTCCAACCCCATGTCAAGTCATCATAATTCCCCTTATGAAAAAAAACCTCTGGAAAAATTTTTTTAAAAAAACATACATACCCCAGCTTCACTGAAGAGAAGGCGAGTCCAGGAAAGCAGAGTATCCCAAATCTTAAAGATGCTCAGGCACAGCAGAGGAGCATCTTTTCATGAGATTTGGGATACTCATCATACCTAGGACCTTGCTGGAATAATGCTGCTTCAATGTCACCTAACTGCCACAGGCAATGCTAGGGTGTAAGGTAAGTATTTTTAAACTTTTTTTTGCGACAGACATTTTTTTTTTGAGGTATTAAACCCAAAACCAAAAATGTAATATACTGCAGCTTACCAATCATTGTGGTGGCTGCATTTCTTTTTTTTCTCTCTGTCTTCACCTGGTGATCTGTACAGTAACACACCTCCTGTAACAGAGTAACCCACTCTGGATGAATGAGCAAAGAAGACACATCAGACAGCAGCACCATCACTCAAAAAAAGAAAGGGGGTGTTGTGTTTAAGATACAAGCTGATTTACATACACTAACAAATTGAAGTGCACACTTTATAAATAGTTACAGCAAACATTTAGTGTTCTTTTAGCATAAACGTTTGCATGAATAAATAAAGGATGATGATTGTAAGCACTCCTGCCAGCGTTTAATGGTTTATATCATCCCTGTAAAATTGATATATCTGGAAGAGAGCTTGTTCTTTTGAAAAACAATAGACTTACTGGCTGGATCACCAAGTAAAATTAGAAGAAAAAAAAAAAGCCTAAAAAAGTGAAACTTATGCAGCCATCACATCTAGGAATTGGTAAGCTGCAATATAATGTTTGCTTTTGGGTTTAATACTGCTTTAAGGGAAACGTGTCATCCAATTTGAATTGACCTGAAAAATGCATGCAGATGTGACTATTGTTGATATAACCTGCTGCATTCAGATTCAAGTCAGTGGTTGCCAAGAAACTAATATTTTTCAGATGTAGGTTAGCAATGGCAGCTTCCATATTTTTCTTAGTGCAAGATTGTTTCCAAGTCCCCAGTCATTTGTAGAATTCTAATGGTGGCCTACATAGTCCAAGTAAAGGTTAATCAATGACCTTTCTGCTAAGCTCTGTAATACCTTTAACAGCATTTACATAAAACACACTTGCTCATCAAAAGACACTGTTTAATGACACATTGGTCAGGGGATCCTGTGGAAGAACCGATCCACCAGAACAAAATGAACCTAGAGAGCAGCTTGTAGCAATATTCTCATGTTTTTTTTTTTTCCATCAGAACACAATTAAAAGTAATAAAAAAGTCATTAATTGGGCTTGTCTTATCAGTACTTATTCTTTTAACTGATGTTTTCAATCATATTTTCATAACAAGCACTGAAGAGCTGAAGTTATTCTAAATGTGTGAAAAAAAAAAAATAATATACACACGCACACACATACATCCACATTAAGGTTGAATAAATTAAAACAACTGAGAAGAAATCCATGTAACTCAAGAGAGGACTGCACTCTCATAAAATCCATTCTGGAAACTCCCTGGAAATTCTGTCTCAGAAAACCATTGACATTGACAGCTTTATTAGCCTCGTTGTGCCTAGAAAATATCAACCACTCATGTTTTAAGGCAAGTTTGGGGGCGTGGGCTCCATGTCTGTCTTCGGTTTCTTGACGCCTGCTTCCAGTTGACTGTGCGCTTTGCGAATGTGTCTGTACAAGTCCCCACTTTGTGTGTAGCTGCGCAAACAGTAACGACATTCATAGGGTCGCTCCCGTGTGTGCACTGTGGCATGCCGGCGAAGTGTGTAGGAGCAAGAAAATGTTTTGCCACATGTCTTACAAGTGGGCACGTCTTCAGGGAAAAGAGGAAAGCCAGGATGTCCTTCAAATTCCTGTAAGTACATGGCCTCTGGGTGCATTGAGGGAGGCAGAATACCTCCATAGTTCGGGTGGTGGCCACCTGGCACTGCAATCATATGATAAGGCAAGTATCCAGATTCCTCCTCTCCTTCCTCCTCCTCTTCATACCCATGTCGTTTAAATGCTCCTACCGCTCTCTCACACTCCTCATCAGATATTACAATGGCTTCTATCTTTACTGATACACCTGGAGCTGGTTGACCTTCACTCACAGTAGAACTACATGGACTAGAAGCAGCTGCCGTCTCCATTCCAGGTTGAGTAGTAGTTGTTACTGTCAATTCAGATTTAGTACATTCCCTTTCTTCTCTTTTCCCCACAGGAGACCCTGGACTATGCAAAGTATACCTTGATGTACCTGGGAGTGTCAAAACATTGCTTACTAATTCTGAACTCTGCAGAAAGTATCTTGATGGACCAGCAGCAGTTGTGCTGCCTGTTGGCTCTTGAACTTGCAAACTGTATCGGCCACGTGCTTGAACTCCTTGGATAGTACCCGTTGGTTCCTGCTGAGGGTATCTGGAAGTGGCAGGCTGTGCTGCAGAGTTCACTGTTACTTCTGGACTCTGTAGGGAATATCTTTGAATGCCTTGCACTGCTACAACACTACCAGTTGGCTCCTGCAAAGGGAATCTGGAGCTTCCTGTCACAGCCAATGTAGTTCCAGCTTCTTCCTGTGGCTGCAAAGAATACCTAGTAGTGGGTAATGTTTGGCTGCTAGCGCCAGCATTGTCCTGACCTTGGTGGGAATATCTGGAACCACTAGGAGTACTTTGGGTGCTACCTGCAGGCTCCTGTCTCTTTGGCGAGTTTCTTGAAAGTACTGCCTGTCCATTAGAACCTGTATCTTGACTCTGTGAAGTGAATCTCTGAGCAGGCGATGTAAGTGTACTTTCTACAGCCTCTTGCTGAGGACATCTTATGGCTTCTGAAATGTGTTCATTCCCTGTCCTCTCCTGTATCTCATATCTAGAGCTTCCAGCAGCCTCCTGATTACTAGTTGAGAGCTGTTGCCCCTGACACTTCACACTGCCAGTAACAGGTTCAATATTTACTGTCCCTTCCTGCATTTCAAATTTAGAGCTGGCCGCTCGGCCACTTTCGTTCATGTTCTGTATTTCAAACCTAGAACCCCCTACTATTCTCTGCATAATGCCTGATGTTTCAGGTCCCTGATACTTTACACTTCCTGGTAATTTCTGTCCATTTCCTTCTGTCTCCTGCTTCTGATACCTGCTGCTTCCTGCTACTTCCTGCAAGTGGTAGGTTATACTCCCAGGCATTCTCTCCCCATCTCCTGCTATTTCCGGTCCCTCATATTGCATAATTTTGATATCTTGACCCTCATGGCTTACATCTCGCCCATTATTTTCTACCCCCAGGCAGCCATTTCCTCCTTCTTCTTCTCGGCGAGTGCTATCTGCCTCAGCAGGAGCTCGACCTTGCAGCCGTTTTTTGCACACCCTCACAACCTCATCCATGTGCAAATAGCTAGCTGCTGCCAGAACATCTTCAGTGGGGGCCTCCTGAAAACTGAGTCGACCACAGTACATAAAGCTAAGGAGCAAGGAAAAGGCTGGAGCTGTGACAATCTGGCTGTTTAGGGTAAGCTCTCGTGTTTCTGGTCTCTCTCGGCATGACATATGGAAAAAGGGACTGCATGAGGCCAGAATAGAGCGATGTGCCAGGAAGCGTGCAGTCCCCACAGATATTTGGCAGTCACAAAGGAAACCCTGCGATTGCTGGTCTCTAAGGCTGTGAAGTATGCGGCGACTGTGGTCTGGGAAATCCATGTCTGGAACAAAGAAAACACATGTAAGCATGCGAAGGACAAGAAGGAGCAACACATGAGCAAAGACATTGGGGCCTACAGTAATAAATGTCATATAACCTAGTCAAATTCTTTGTATTATTTTTTTTTTCCTTTTTAAACAAAAAAAAAAAAAGGACTAATAGAATCTGATCAGTTCCTATGGGAAACACAGACACTTTGTTTTTAGATACGTCTAATACCTTTGTTTCATGGTGTGTATGATATCTTGGACTGCACTGTAGTTTGATTTCTCTACTTGCAAACAGATGAACCATCCAGTTATGGTAGATAGTAGTGTGGCTAGGTTTCCATCTGCCATGAAGAGACTGAAAACTATATTTTATGATGGGATAGTTAAAAAAAAAAAAAAAAAAAAACCTTTACATTTAGGCCAAAGTGTGGGCTAAAATTGTAATGAGGCATTAGATTTTCATCCGCAATCAGGTGTGCCCCACTGGGGGTTGCAGCTTCTTTCGCAACTCTTCAATACTGGACACTTTCATCACCTTCCTGCCCAGGCCAATTTTCAGCATATTTTCAAAACAGAGCTGTCTTTTTGTAGTATTTAATCAGCACTTTTTTAGTTTTGCTATATAAGTGGAATACCAAACATTTTGAGAAAAAAAACGTTTTTCTTAGTTTATTTTGCAAATGATCTTTCTTCATAAATTTAGGCCAAAATGTAGTCTGTTACATTTATTTGGTAAAAAATAACCCAAGTGTATAATATTTAGTCTGTGTGAAAGTTATAGCATCTACAAACTATTATTATTATTATACAGGATTTATATAGTGCCAACAGTTTATGCAGTGCTTTACAATATAATGGAGGACAGTACAATTACAATACAGTTCTATACAGAAGGGCCCTGCTCATGGAGCTTACAATCTCTAAGGGAGGGTGAGGTGGTACAAAAGGTAATATCTGCAGCGGATGATCTGATGGAGGTGATTCAAGTACAGGTCTTAGGTGGAGGTGTGGTAGGCTTCCCTGAATGAGTTTTCAAATGATCGCCTAAAGGCGGACAGGGTAAGAGCTGATTGGACATACTGGTGCAGGGAGTTCCAGAGGCTCTAGAGAAGTCCTGAAGGGCAAGCGCTGGAGGAGGCAACAATGGAGCAGGAGAGCAGGAAGTCATGGGAAGAGTGGAGAGGACGATTTGGCCGATACCTGCAGATAAGGTTGGTGATGTAGCTTGGGGCGATGTTGTTGATGACCTTGTATCTTTTGGTTAGTATTTTGAATTTTATACAATGACCCCATCTTAGGGGAAGCCAGTGAAGATATTGGCAGAGAGGGGTAGCATTCACGGACTGGTTAGTTAGGTATATTAGTCTAACAGCAGAATTCATAATAGACTGAATGGGGGATAGCCTGTGTAAGGGTAGGCCAGTGAGGTGGGAGAAGTAGTAGTCAAGGCGGGAAATAACCAAGGAGTGAATAAGCTGTTTTGTGGTTTCATTAGTCAGGGAGGGGCAAATTCTGGAAATGTTGCGGAGGCAACTGAGATTAAATTACACACAGGTGGACTCTATTTACTAATTAGGTGACTTCTGAAGGCAATTGGTTCCACTAGATTTTAGTTAGGGGTATCAGAATAAAGGGGGCTGAATACAAATGCACACCACACTTTTCAGATATTTGTAAAAAAATTTTGAAAACCATTTATCATTTTTCTTCCACTTCATAATTATGTGCCACTTTGTGTTTGTCTATCACATAAAATCCCAATAAAACACATTTACTTTTTTGGTTGTAACATGACAAAATGTGAAAAATTTCAAAGGGGTATGAATACTTTTTCAAGGCATTGTACAAACTCAGTTTTAGATAGATTGAGTTTGAGGAAGTGGTGTGACATCCATGCTGATACGTCTCTTAGTAAATATGTGATACGTAAGGAGATTGAGGGGAAGGGTTGAGGAGTCAAGAGATAGACCTGGGTGTCATCAGCATAGAGGTGGCATTGGAAGCAATGGGAGGTGCTCAACTGGCCCAGGGAAGAGGTATAGAGAGAGAAGCTGAGGAGATGGTATTGTATGTGACACTAAAAGTGCGCTGAGATAGGTAGGAGGAGAACCAGGAAAGAGAAGAGTCACGGAGGCCAAAGGAGTGAAGTTTCTTGAGGTGGAGCAGTTGGTCAACTGTGCCAAAGGCAGCAGAAAAGCCTAAGAGTATGAGTTTGAGTAGGAGAAAAAAAAGGGAAGAAAAAAAAAAGGGAGGAGGAGGAGGAGAAAAAAAAAGGGAGGAGGAGTAGGAGGAGAAAAAAAAAGGGAGGAGGAGGAGGAGGAGAAAAAAAAGGGAGGAGGAGGAGGAAAAAAAAAAAGGAAGAAAAAAAGGGGAGGAGGAGGAGAAGAAGAAAAAAAAAAAAAAGAACAAAAATAGAGAAAAAAAAAAAAAAAAAACACAAAAAGAAAGTGAAAAAGGAGAAAAAGGTGAAGAAAAAAAAAAAAGAGAAGAAATTGTGTAAAAAAAAAAAAAAATGATTAGAAAAAAAAAAAAAGTATGTAATAATAATATAGTGTACACAAAACATGTTAGCAGGGAAGGGTGAAAATCCCTGTAAGTGTAATTCTTATATGTGAGCTGTTGGAGAGATTTTCCTTCACATTCTGTCCCAAAATAAACAGGACGTTAGATGAAATCTCCACAAAATGAGAGCATTTTCCTCAAATGGGTGTGGATGTCAGCCCTATGTTACATTGAAGTGTCACTAAAGGCAAAACATATTTTTTTTTCATTTTGTATAGAGTAATGGAGGGTTTTAACCCTTGTCAATTTTTTTTTTGCACTCTGTGTCCCATTGCAGAGATTTCCCTTCACTTTCTTTTCCTTAGCCAAAACAGGAGGTGGGAGGAAACGCCTCCAAAGTGAGGGAATCCCCAGGTGTCACCAGAACAGGTGTCCTGATTGGAAGATTTCCACCTTGTTCTGGTGACAACGCTAAAATGTTGTATTTCACATTTCTTTTTGTCCCTGGGACAACGGTCAGCAGGGCAAACAGAAAAAGTAAGGGCACCATTGTGTACAGTGTACAAGAGCCATTGGTCCCTGATCCCATGCAGCGCGGGCAGCCTGTGGTATTCAATGGCAATGCAGTGGCTGTATGGACTAACCCCCACATCTGAGTTTGACAGGTATGCAGGCACAAGGGTTCAGCCTCGAGAACAGACAGTGAACATCTGGGGCCCCACAGTGTTGGTGTCAGCGACCCCTATAATAGCCTCTCATCATTACAAGCATGTATATGCATTTAGAAATGTCTTCTAAATGCAAGATTGACAATCTTAGTGTGAATGAGGTGTAAAGGTCATCGCACAGTGTTTACGGTCTGTCTAGTCTAACTGGAAAAGACATTCAAATCACTTTGCCAATCAAAGATTAGTTTCGACATCCTCTGAACTCATCTCTATTTGAACATCATAGCTGTGTTTTTTTTAAAAGTCTACTAAAACCAGGCGGTTGCAAGTCAATAGAGCCGTGCTGCAACTACATGCGATTGTGGTGCGGTAGAGTGACATTGACAGGTTTATACAGGGTGTTAAAAGTGGCCACGCAATGCCTCCTCATTGCCTGTCAAATGCTCTCTGAAAGCGATCCAATGTGGATCGCTGTTTAGAGGGCACTGTATGTGTGAATGAACCCTGATAGCAATCAGGAGGTTATATGAACATGAGGCTGGCAGCAGCTGTTGTACCCAGGCATTGGAACAAAGAACCACTGTATATTAGAGCAGCGGATATGTGTGCCACTAAAATAAAAAGGAGACTATTCATCCATATTGCAGAAATCAGTTGTCATCTTCCTGTTCAAGAATGCCAGCAGATCAGACAAGCTCAGTGTAGTGCTGGTGGCAGGAACAAAACCCAGTACTGTATTAACCACAAAGCCATTGTACTTCCCTAGCTAAATGTTACATATATACACCGATCAGCCATAACATTATGATCCCTGACATTAACATTGATTATCTCGATGGCATGTGAAAGTGGGAGTGAATTATAAAGCAGCAAGTAGACATGTTGTCCCTGAAATTTATGTGTTGAAAGCAGAAAAAAAAAAAAAAATGGGCAAGCATAACAATTTGAACAACTTTGATTTGGGCCAAATTATAATGGCTAGATGACTGGGTCACAGCAACACCAAAACTGCAGTTCTTTTGGGATGTTCCCAGTCTGCAATGGTCAGGACCTACCAAAAGTGGTTCAAAGAAGGAAAACCAGCAAATCTCCAATGGGGTTATGGGCAGCCATTGCTCATCGATGCACATGTAGCCCGATCCATTAGAAGATCTGCTGTAGCTCAAATTGCTAAAAAAAAAAAAAAAAAGTTAATGCTGGTCCCAACAGAAAGGTGTCAGAACACATAGCGCATCGCAGTCTTTGTGTATAGGGATGCATAGCTGCAGACCAGTCAGGGTACACTGGTACAGCGGGACTGGAGGGGGATGGGAAGGGGATCTAGAGTAAGTTCACCTTTGCAGAAAACCACGGGACACTGGTACAGCGGGACTGGAGGGGGATGGAAGGGGATCTAGTATAGTTCACCTTTACACCTTACAGCGGGACTGGACAGAAAACCTTTACACACGGGACACTGGTACAGCGGGACTGGAGGTTGTTGGGAAGGGGATCTAGTGTAAGTTCACCTTTACAGAAAATCACGGGACACTGGTACAGAGGGACTGGAGGGGATGGGATGGGAAGGGGATCTAGTGTAAGTTCACCTTTACTGAAAATCACGGGACACTGGTACAGCGGGACTGGAGGGGGATGGGAAGGGGATCTAGTATAAGTTCACCTTTACAGAAAATCACGGGACACTGGTACAGCGGGACTGGAGGGGGATGGGAAGGGGATCTAGTGTAAATTCACCTTTTACAGAAAAAAACGGGACACTGGTACAGCGGGACTGGAGGGGGATGGGAAGGGGATCTAGTGTAAATTCACCTTTACAGAAAATCCCTACCCCCCCCAGTCCCGCTGCAACAGTAGTCCACGTTCCCCCCGCTGCCAGGCACCAAGACGCTGCTTCACCGGTCTGGGGATTTTAAACCCTCCTGGCTTTCTCTCCTCACCTTGCAGAGCTGATAGGATGGGCTAGACGGATTCTGATTGGTCAGTGCCATTCATGTGATGGCGCTGATCAATTAGAATGCCTCTTTTCCATACACGGAGAGGTACGGATGGGTGGTTAAGCCATTATGGTTTTCAAATCCCAAGACCGGTGAAGCGGCGTCTGGTTCCTGACAGCGGGGGACAGTGGGACTGGGTGTGGGTAGGGGGAGATGGTACAGTGTAAGGTCACCTTATGGATTTTCTGTAAAGGTGAACTTACGCTGTGAAGGATCTGCTACTGGCGGCTTGGTGCCAGATATCACAGCATACCTTCAGAGGTCTCGATGGGTTATGGTGGGTGGTGATATTGTTATGGCTGATCGGTACGTGTGTGTGTGTAATATACATATACATACATATATACACACATGCATACATAAATACTAGTTACACAGGATTATTTTATCAGTCCTTACCTGCACGGTGGTCTGTATATGTGTGTGGTCAGGCTTAGATTGGTAGCGAGGTCACTTCAGATGAGCTCCACGCCGCGTTGTCACTTTATTTGGCCCACCATGACCAGCTAGGTGTCAGGGTCCAGAATCATCCTCTGTATCACTAGGAATAGACATAAATTTCATCAATAGGATGCCAATGAGATACACACAGCATGCAGGGACAATGTACCATGGATCTATGTCAGCAGAACATCTGTCCCTTTTGGATCAGAAAATGAACAGGCCTGGGGAGAGGTCTGAGGAGACATTATAAGATATATATAACTGTAGGAAATCTCACTGACCTGCCCACCCAGTATCAGCTCTCCATACTACATGTATATACTAGACAGCCAGCATCCCCACCGAGGCTGCCGCTTTGCCTAGGCACCCCATCCAGGTGACATTATTAGTAATAATACGGTAGAGCAATGGGAGTCACGTGACCCTCCCCCTCTGTCGCTCACCTGCACAAAGCGAGCCGTGTTGAAGCCGCCTCTGCTACACCCTGATTGGAGGCTGCATGACCTGTCCCCTCTACGCTGGTTGGTCGGTACTAAAGGAGATGGGCACCAGCCCCAGCCAATCAAGAACATTCACTTTATTTCTATTTCAGAAAACTACGTTTGCTGGTTCCGTGTTGTTCGGTATCCTTTTCTCCTCCCTGGTTTCCGCCGTAGAAAGTTTCGGACAGATGCAAACCCCACAGCAGCCAAACGTCGCCGGTTTACGTCACTTCCGCACGACATGACGCCTAGATAGGAGACCCCGCCCTGGTTTGAACAAACTTTATTATTCGGCGCAAGGTGTAATCAAAAGCATATCGTGCTGTGGGTGGTGTGAGGAGGAGATTCCAGCGATGTTCTACCATGTGAGTATAAAATACACTATATTGTCATAAGGATTGGTCGGCTTGCCTTTACTCACACAGGAACTTTAGTCTGTAGGGTTCAGTATTGAGCTGGCCCCCCTTTGCAGCTATAACAGCTTAAACTCTTCTGGGAAGGCTGTCCACAAGGTTTAGGAGTGTGTCTATGGGAATGTTTGACTATTCTTCCAGAAGTGCATTTGTGAGGTCAGGCACTGATGTCGGACAAGAAGGCCTGGCTAACAGTCTCCGCTCTAATTCATCCCAAAGGTGTTCTGTCAGGTTGAGGTCAGGACTCTGTGCAGGCCAGGCAAGTTCCTCCACCCCAAACTCACTCATCCGAGTCTTTATGGACCTTTCTTTGTGCACTGGGTGTGCAGTCATGTTGGAACAAGAAGGGGCCATCCCCAAACTGTTCCCCCAAAGTTGGGAGCATTAAATTGTCCAATATGTCTTGGTATGCTGATGCCTTAAGAGTTCCCTTCACACTGAACTAGGGGGCCAAGCCCAACCCCTGGAAAATAACCACTAAACCATAATTCCCCCTCCACCAAGTGTTACACTTGGCACAATGCAGCCAGGCAAGTAACGTTCTGGCACCCACCAAACTTCGTTAATATAGCTGGCCTTTTCTCGTTACAGATCTCACTGGAGCATGAGATTCTTCTGCACCCCAGGTATTTTGGGCCAAACCTTCTCAACACGGTCAAGCAGAAGTTGTTCACTGAGGTAGAGGGAACATGCACGGGCAAGTAAGTATATGCAACTAATAGGTGCATGTGGCCTATTTTTTTTATTTTTTTCTTCACATTTGATGATGTAAAGCACACCTTTTGAGTAATAACTTATCTAGGTAGAAAACGAAAGTGTAGTCTTGAGCACTCTGGAACCCAGTGCAAAGATGATCTAAAAAGTACATTTAAAGATCCAAGCTTTCTCTTCCACTCTGTCCTATTGGCTTATTTCTGGACCACTATAGGAAAAAAAATGATCTGGAGAGACTCCATTTACATGGGTGGCCGCTAGCAGGAATCCATTGGTTCTTGCTGACAGCCACATGTACACAGCGTGTGCTAACAGCAGCATCTGTCCGATTTGTACTTTGTGCAAATCAATCACCGGTGCTGTTTGCATGTGACCACTTAGCCAAGCAATAGAGTTTTTGTGGAGTGTGTGGCTGCACACAAACTAGCTGGCGTTAATTGTCCCTTTTGTATGTGGCCATTGCACAGAGTACAGTGTATCCAGAGAAGGAGCTTTAGTTCTTAGATTTATGTTTCTACGGTAACACTATACGTGAGTAAGACTGTCAGGGATGGCTATAATATAGAGAAAGGAGACCAGGGAAGAAGCAGGAGATGTAAGATGGAACTTAGATTTGTAGATGTACCAGTTTTCCTTGGTAAATTTAATTACAGAAAATAGATCTAGACATCTGAAGTCAGTGGAGGGTCCCCAATAGTTTTATTTTAAAATGTAACCACTCCAGCGAATTATCATGTCTGTTGTGGTACTAACTTTTAGTAAAAGCCAGTAGTAGCACACTTTAAGGCAGTGGTTCTCAACCTTTCTAACGCCGCGACCCCTTAATACAGTTCCTCATGTTGTGGTGACCCCCAACCATAAAATTATTTTCGTTGCTACTTCAGAACTGTAATTTTGCAGTGGGAGGAATAGTGCCCCATCATTGGTATCAGTGGGAGGAATAGTGCCCCATCATTGGTATCAGTGGGAGGAATAGTGTCCCATCGTTGGTATCAGTGGGAGGAATAGTGCCCCATCACTGATGTCACTGGGAGGAATAGTGTCCCATCATTGGTATCACTGGGAGGAATAGTGTCCCGCCAGTGGGAGGAATAGGTCACTTGATCAGTGGGAGGAATAGTGCCCCCATCATTGGTATCAGTGGGAGGAATAGCGCCCCATCACTGGTGGTCAGTGGGAGGAATAGTGCCCCATCGTTGGTGTCAGTGGGAGGAATAGTGCCCCATCGTTGGTGTCAGTGGGAGGAATAGTGCCCCATCGTGGTGTCAGTGGGAGGAATAGTGCCCCATCATTGGTATCAGTGGGGAGGAATAGTGCCCCATCATTGGTGTCAGTGGGAGGAATAGTGCCCCATCATTGGTGTCAGTGGGAGGAATAGTGCCCCATCATTGGTGTCAGTGGGAGGAATAGTGCCCCATCATTTGGTGTCAGTGGGAGGAATAGTGCCCCATCATTGGTGTCAGTGGGGGAATAGTGCCCCATCATTGGTGTCAGTGGGAGGAATAGTGCCTATCATTGGTGTCAGTGGGAGGAATAGTGCCTATCATTGGTGTCAGTGGGGGAGGAATGGTGCCTATCATTGGTGTCAGTGGGGGGAGGAATGGTGCCCCATCGTGGTGTCAGTGGGGGGAGGAATAGTGCCCCATCGTTGGTGTCAGTGGGGGGAGGAATAGTGCCCCATCGTTGGTGTCAGTGGGGGGAGGAATAGTGCCCCATCGTTGGTGTCAGTGGGGGGAGGAATAGTGCCCCATCGTTGGTGTCAGTGGGGGGAGGAATAGTGCCCCATCGTTGGTGTCAGTGGGGGGAGGAATAGTGCCCCATCGTTGGTGTCAGTGGGGGGAGGAATAGTGCCCCATCGTTGGTGTCATTGGGGGGAGGAATAGTGCCCCATCGTTGGTGTCAGTGGGGGGAGGAATAGTGCCCCATCGTTGGTGTCAGTGGGGGGAAGAATAGTGCCTATCGTTGGTGTCAGTGGGGGGAGGAATAGTGCCCCATCGTTGGTGTCAGTGGGGGGAGGAATAGTGCCCCATCGTTGGTATTAGTGACACAAATGATGGGGCACTATTCCTCCCACTGACACCAATGATACTTACCTTGCTGACCCCTGCTCTAGCCTGGGCTCGCTCTCTCCCTCTCCCATCTACAGCCTGCAGAAGCAAAATTTGCACTTACCTGTCAGCTGTCTTCCTTCTCTGGCCTCTCTCCTCTTCACTCGGTCCTGCAGCTCCCTCGATCTTCTTCGATCTGCGCACTCTGCCGCTCGGCTCCTCCTCTCCAAGCTCCACCTCCTCGCCGGTGATTGGCCGCCTGTGTGCCTCTCCTGAGCTACAGTTCCGGTGGCCAATCAGCGGCGAGGAGGCGGAGCTGTTGAGTGATCCCGGAGGTGTGGCCAGGTTACAGGGGCAGCATATCATCCCGCCCACAGATCGCGAGACAGAGCAGCGGTGTCTCGGTTCCTAAGACCATCGGGAAATATGTGTTTTTTTCGATGGTCTTAGGCGACCCCTGGGAAATGGTCGTTCGACCCCCAAAGGGGTCGCGACCCCCAGGTTGAGAACCGCTGCTTTAAGGCATGCTTTCCAAGACTGTGACATTTACCTTGTGTCCAGCAAGATTTTTAACCACATGCCGCCTAGCCACTGTAGAAATACGGCGGCAGGGCGGCACGGCTGAGCAAAACCACGTTTTAAAACGCCCTACCTGTCCCGCCGCTCACAGCCGCGGATGTCAGTCGCCGGGTCACAGCCGGTCCTTACCGGCTATGTCCCGGTGATCGGCGGCAATCGCTGACAGAGAGCACAGCTGCAGTAGCTGTGCTTTCTGTCAGTTCCCTGACAGCTCTAGGACACGCTGATCGGGACAGAAGAGTTTCTCCCGATCAGCAGTGTTCCCTGCAGTACACACCCCCGCCCCCTAGTAAAACACTCCCCTCACACAGTTAACCCTTTCCCTGAATAATAAACTTAACCCCTTCCTCCCCAGTGCCATTAGTACAGTGTCAGTGTTTTTTTTTTTTTTGCACTGATCACTGTATTGGTGTCACTGGGGATGTCAGTAACCCCAAGTCAGTATCCCCCCCCCCCCCAATGTCAGAATGTCCACCGCAGTCCCGCCATAAGTCGCTGATCACCGCCATAAGTCGCTGATCACCGCCATAAGTCGCTGATCACCGCCATTATTAGTATAAAAAAAACCCTAAAAATACCAGTATTTTTCCCACCATTTGTAAACGCTATAACTTTCACGTAAACCAATTAATTTACACGTATTGTTTTTTTTTTTTTTTTTTTTAGCAAAGACGTCGCAGAATGCAGTTTGACAGAAATTTATGACTAAATTTGATTTTTACATTTTTTTTTTTTTTTTTACTAGCAAAAAGTCCAAAATATTTTTTTTTTTTTTTTCTCAAAATTGTCAGCTTTTTTTTTTTTTTTTTTTTTATAGCGCAAAAAATAAAAACCGCACAGGCAATCAAATACCACCAAAAGAAAGCTCAATTTGTGGGAAAAAAAAAGGATGTAAATTTCATTTATGTACGGTATTGCATGACCGTGCAATTGTCCATTAAACTAGCGCAGCGCTGTATAGCAAAAAAATGGCGTAAATTTCAGTATCTATACCATAGTTTGTAGACGCTATAACTTTCACACAAAGCAATCAATATACACTTATTGGGATTTTTTTTTTAACAAAAACATGTAGCAGAATACATTTTGGCCTAAATTTATAACTAACTTTGAGTTTACTATATATTTTTTATAGCTGAAAGTAAAAAATATAGTTTTTCTTCAAAATGTTTGGCCTTTTTTTGTTTATAGCGTGAAAAAAAAAAAGTGCACAGGTGATCAATTACCACCGAAAGAAAGCTCTATTTGTGTGAAAAAAAGGACGTAAATTTCATTTAGGTGCAGCATTGCATGACCGCGCAATTATCAGTTGAATTAGTGCAGCGCCGAGTAGCAAAAAGAGGCCTGGTCATTAAGGGGGGTAAATCCTCTGGAGGTCAAGTGGTTAAAGTTTTTTCTTTTTAATAAAGAACCATGTTTTACAGATGCTCAGAAACCCTCGTAATCACATCAGCTTTAAGATAAACCACTTATTTTAGGTATATTTTTCCCTTTCTCTTCAGGTACGGTTTTGTAATTGCCGTTACTACAATTGACAACATTGGTGCAGGGGTGATCCAGCCTGGCAGAGGCTTCGTTCTTTATCCTGTCAAGTACAAGGCCATTGTCTTCCGGCCTTTCAAGGGAGAGGTAGTGGATGCTGTAGTTACTCAAGTCAACAAGGTGAGATTTAATTTTAACATAAATGTAAGACCCTAAATCGCCACATACACAGAAGAAAAAAAATATATCTATACTGCTTGCCAAAATATGGATATTTCTGTTCATTCACTTTTCATATAACTTTGTGGTATTGTTTAGCAAGGAGAGTGACAACACTATTCATAGTATCATCTTCCTAAATCAGGCCTACTTATTGCACAATGAATGAACATCACCACACTAAAGTTCTCTGTCCTCTCCCTGTCTTGTAAGTTGTCCAAACGCCTCCCTTTCTTGATTCCAATCTTTGGAACACAAGGAATACAGCACCATGCAATGTAGTACAACCTGATTGGCTCACAGTACTGGTACTTCCAAGCTCAGCCATATTTATGCTGTGCAGGGGATCATGGGGAGTTGAAACAAACTTGGATGTTAATGTTATGCAATTATACTAACCATAATCAAAAACGTCATCTTTAAAGACTGTATAACTGGGTGCCCTTTTTCCTTTTAGGTTGGAGTCCAGACATGGTGCTATCCTGCTTTATGCAGAATGAACTGAGAAAGTAAAAAGAGAAAAAGTTTTATTTCCCCCCACCCCCTTCTCAGTACCATGTACTTGCCTTTCCTCATTTCCACACCGCTTCATTCAGCTGCAAGAACCAGGGCAAAGAAAGCCCTGTGTAAACTCAAATTGTTGGTGCTTACACAAGGCTATAAACTTCTCCCTTCTCAGGTGACAGCACTGGGCCAATTACCTGTGCTGTTGCATTGAAAATTTGAGTGAGTCACAAGCTTACCCATGCCTAGAAGAGTTGGATATTTTTTCTCTTCACTCCTGATGGCCAAGCAAAGTGGAGAGAAATTGAAGGAAAAGTATACGTGATTGTGGTTGGTAGCTTACGGAACATTTTACTTTGTCCTGCATGAGCAAAAGAAAAGGGTCACATTAAATAAGTTTACCTTTTGGAACATGTTACTTGTTCCACCCATATTTAGGGTGGAACAAGTACCTAATTCCAGCTCCTGTGTGACAGCAGGTGGGGATCTTCTCCTCGCACCCCCACTCACAATTTAAAAGCAGCATTGCCCACATAGCTGCATCATTTATTCACAGGGGGAGATTTACTAAAACTGGATCACTCAGAATCTGATGCAGTTTTGTATGGTAGCCAATCCACTTCTAACTTCAGCTTGTTAAATTAAGCTGTGACAATAAAACCTTGAAGCTGATTGGTTTTGTGCAGAGTTGCACCAATTTTTGCACACTTCAGCTTTAGTAAATCTCCCCCATAGTTTCCTGTGAATTAACGAACCACAAGTACTGTCAGCCACTGCGGCAACTGGCTTGTAATTCTGAATGAACTGCAAGGGCTCTGATGGGCACCATTGCAGTTCATTCACAAGTCCTGCAGCTTTCAAACTGACAGCCCATATGAAGGTATGGGCTGAAAGCTGCAAGGCTTGTCTGCAGAGGTCTGATGTTGCAGCACTGATTATGGATGCAATGCTCTCCAGGAAAAAAATAATAAATGTGCTTTTCTTCTGCAAAAATGTGCCTTCATTATTTATTTTTTCTAAAAAAGTGTGCTTATCTTTTAAGTACTATGGCCAAAGTTTGAACTGAATCTTGAAAGCTTATGTTGATTTTAGTTTTTTTTTTTTTTTTTTTAAATCCATTTTTTTGAAACGTACATTGGTGTATGACCGTATCATTTAATTTTTTTCTAACTTGCTGTATCGCGCAAAAAAGCTATGCAAAAATGTAATTGCACACAGATTGTGGTGAGTAATTGCAGCATCTGCTGAATTCAATAAATTGACCATTTTCTACATCATAGTAACACTGAGCACTCCAAGTTGTATTTTTTGTTTTTAACTGCACTGTTCAAGACTTGGTTTTACTATGTGTGTAAATGAATGTGTTACCATCCTTTGAATGACTCTTCTTTTAGCTTTTTTTTTCTATATGAATGAAAAAATCTAAAGCTGATTGTTTTCAAAACAGCTTGTATTGTAATGCATATTTTGGGGTTGGTTTACTAAATGCAAATAGACTGTGCTCTTTGCAAGTGCAGTTTCACAAATTTTCCTTCGTAATGTAATGTGATAAGGCTTCACTTTACCAAATAGTCAATCAGGTGCAAGAGGGGAAAAAAAGCAATTTTGCTTGCACAAGATTGGATGATGGAAATTGGCAGAGCTTTACCACATTAACTACCCTCTGAGGACAGTGAATGCCACTGCACAGTCTATTAATCTCTTAGTAAATCTTCTATATTTTGCTGCGTTGAAGCATCTTTTTAAAATTATAAAACTACTACTAGCACTGAAAAGTGTGAATTTCTGCAGATAATCTGTGGGAGATGTGAAGCTGCTGCCTTTTTATTATGGTCTTTTGTAGTAACTAATCCAGGATAGCAGTGTTTGTAACCCACTGATTTATTGTCCTTTTTTACAGGTTGGATTATTTACAGAAATTGGACCAATGTCCTGCTTCATTTCAAGACATGTAAGTTATATCCGTTTTTGAACACTGGAACTTGCTGGCAACGAAGCTGCAATTATCTTGCTATGGCAAATGAAAGTGGAATTCTGGATGTATGGGTTACTGCACACTGTTGGTGATTGCTGTGTTTTTTGCTGATTAAAACATACCCTGAAGGACAGCTTTACTTTTACTTTACACAAAACTAAAAAATGTGAATTTATTCAGAAGCTGTCATATCACTAATATAATTCCTCTGAGCAAAAAAAAAAAAAAAAAGACAAGTTTTGACCCCTCCCCAGTCTGTTTAAAAAAAAAAAAAAAAAAAAAAATTCTAAGCATACATACTGCACATTTAGGCTGCAAGTGCAAATCTAGCATGTATGTGCAGTATATTCTTATGAAGGTATCTAACCGATCTTGTTGGTTTTTGTTTCAGTCAATTCCATCTGAAATGGAGTTCGATCCCAATTCTAATCCACCTTGTTATAAGACTGTAGATGAGGTAAGAGACATGCCTATCTCTTGTTCGTTAATGAGCAAAGACTTCATATTACACATGGGTAAAATGTGTGGTATTATGTTACAAGATTGGTTTTACTACTATATAGGAACGTTTTATAAAAATGTGTAGCGCTTGAAATTTTAAAAATACCTTTTTGTGCATATTTTTTTTTTTTTTTATTTTGAGCCCAGTTAAAGTGATATTAAAGATCTGATCATATAATTTTTTTTTTTCTTTAATAAAAGACCTGTCATACTTTACTCCTCTGTGCAGTGGTTTAGCACAGAGTAGCCCCGATCTTCCTCTTCATGGGTCCCCTGCCAGCGCTCCTTGCCCCTCAGTCCTTCAAAGTGTCCCCACAGCAAAGAGCCTGCTAAAGGGACACCCGAGCATGCTTGAGCTGCTTCTCTGTATGTCCATTCAGACACAGCACGGCTTGTTCCCACCCCTACTCTCCTAATTAACCTTGAGCCTTTACAACCACTCTAAACCATTTGGAAAAACTAAACATAGTAAAATGCATTTCCTAGCACACCTACCAACTAGGAACCCCTAAAAAAAAAAAAAAAAAAAAAAAGCCCCTACTAGGAATGATGCTCTGCTAGACCTGGTAATCTCAAACCATGCAGAGCTTATTTTGAATGTCCATATAAAAGAACATCTGGGTAGCAGTGACCATAACATGATTTCATTTATTGTTAGCTGTAAACAGCAAGCACATACGGGAAAAATAAAAACGCTCAATTTCAAGAGAGGTAATTTTCCCAGGCTGAGAGCTGCTCTCCAAGACTTAGACTGGGAGGGAATATTGGCATTGATGAACACAGCACAGAAATGGGAGTTCTTCAAAAAGACTGTAAGTGAACACACTGCAAAATATATTCCCATGGGCAACAAGTTTAAAAACAAGCTAAAAATCAAATCTATGTGGCTTACAACCAAAGTTAAAAAGTCTATAGATAATGAGAAAAGAGCTTTTATTCAATATAAAAATGAAGGAACGCTATCATCGTTTAAACATTACAAAGAATATAACAGGATATGCAAAAAGGAAATAAAGGCTGCAGAAATTGAAAACGAATGACAGATTGCAAAAGATAGCAGGACCAACCCCAAAAAATTTTTCCAATATATTCATAGTAAAAAGGTTTGGTCCGAGTATGTAGGCCCTTTACAAAATAATCTAGAGTGGGTGACTGGGGACAAAGAGAAGGCAAATTTATTTAATACCTTCTTCAGCTCTGTATATACAAAGGAGCATGGGGGCATGGGATGGCATACACCCACGGGTCCTTAACCACTTCCAGTCTGGACACTTTTACCCCCTTCCTGACCAGAGCAATTTTCAGCTTTCAGCGCTATCACACTTTGAATGACAATTGCGCGGTCATGCAACACTGTACCCATATGAATTTTTTACCATTTTTTTTGAGACAGATAAAACTTTATTTTGGTGGTATTTATTCACCGCTGGGATTTTTATTTTTTTTGCTATGTAAATGAAAATATCCAAAAATTTTGAATGTTTTTTTTTTCTTTTTTTTTTTTAAATCTTGGCCAAAATTTATTCCGTTTTTATCTTTTTAGTGAGCTATGATTGGTCACAGCTTGTCACATGGTACAAGGCTGTTGTGAATAGCTTCTCACATCATTGCTTACTACTTTGCATGTGATCACTGATTGGCCAATCAGTGATCACATGATCGGGACCTCGTACAGAGGTCCCGTCCGACGATCGGTGTTTCACTGTGTCCGGAGGATACAGCGGGCACCGGATCGTAAGGCCAATGTGGTGCCAGTATTTAACCACCTCCCGACCGGCCGTTGTATATAAACAGCCAGACGGTGGCACTGCAGGGTCAGGTGGCCGTTTATAAACGGCCTCCCCGCACCCCACCTGTGCGCACTCCCCGGGAGCGAGCAGCACCACGATCCGGTGCCCGCTGTGTCCTCCGGACAGTGAAACCCCGATCGTCAGACGGGACCTCTGTACAAGGTCCCAATCATGTGATCACTGATTGGCCAATCAGTAATCACATGCAAAGTACTAAGCAAGATGTCACTTCTGACATCATTGCTTACTACATGTGAAATCTGTGAATGATCACAGAGGTCACATGGTACAAGGCTATTCACAACAGCCTTGTACCATGTGACAAGCTGTGACCAATAATAGCTCACTCAGTTCTCAATGGCTGCAAGAATGCAGACAGAGAGAGAAATAATGTAAATAATATTAACTGTAATATAAAATGCTACAAGACACCTTTTTTGTGTGCTTCAGTGCCTTGTATGGGCTGATAATATTTCAGGAATTTTATATAGTGCTGACAGTTTATGCAGTGCTTTACATATTATACATTCACATCGGTCCCTGTGCTTATATGGCTCGCAATCTGGGGTCCCTAACACACACACACACACACACACGTACACACACACACGTACACACGTTAGACATTGGACCGGGATCAATTAAATTACCAGCATGTCTTAGGAGTGTGGGAGGAAACCAAAATTGTATCCTGGATCAGATTCAAAGTGAGGTGCTGCAAGGCAGGACTACTAACCAGAGAGCCACTGTGCTAATGAGACAACTGCAATTCTAATGTTGGGTTGGAGGGGGCCAACAGGCCACCCACTTGGTGAGTTTCCAATGAACAACAAAATGTAAACAGTGTAGGGCTATCTAAATCCACAATCTTAAAGTTTTCATTCATGCCTGCCTTTTTTCCTCTTTCCTCAAGGCTGTACATATTAAGTTTTTGCAGTCCCTCCCGTTATGGTTTATCCCTCAGGTCATTTTTGTTGGGCGTCTCTTCACTGGTTTTTATCAGTGTCTTTGTGTAAGTGGGGTCTCCAGAGCTAGACACAATATTTTTTTATTCGGTCTAACCTATATAGGAGAATCGAGACCCTCTTACTCATGCTGATGATCCATCTAGTTATGCACTACAGAATCTTGCTCACTTTTCCTATTGGCCAGGCCACACTGTTTGTTCATACTAAAACCAACATACTAATATCTCCGACAGGATGTTGTTATACAACAAGATGATGAAATTCGCCTAAAGATTGTGGGGACCAGAGTGGATAAGAATGATATTGTAAGTAATACATGGCTTTAGCAAGCTTTCAAACTCCTTTCACATATTCACTTGGAAAATATTGTTTATGAAAATTGTTTGGAAAATATTGCTTTGCTAAATTAAATAAATAAAATAATGAACCTAGCAATTAATAAATTGGGTAACTAAAGGGAATTCATTTAATGGTCTTTATAAATCAAAAAGAGTGTTATTTTACTTTTAAGGGCATACAAGAAAATCCGTAGCCTTTTACCTCAGCAATTTTTTGGAGGTTCAAGCCAGGAGCTGTTGGCTGTCTGCAGAGGAATGCTGATTAGCACCTAGGCTACTCCTTCTTCTTCTTTTTTTTTTTTTTTTTTCAGTTCCAGCTAGATTGTTGGGGTTTGTGGGAGGAGACCTGCTAAAGGGCACCTGTAAGGATAAAAACATGGAAGCTGCCATCGCTGACTTGTTTGTATAGGTGTAGGTTTCAGGGCTATCCTCTTGATCATGGCTTCACTACCTTTTTAAGTCACCAACATGGAACAAGCATGTTGAATGGGTGCAAGTGGGAAAACCAGCTTCATATGGTAGAGCATTAAGGATGCAGCCACTTGGTTAAATCTTCTTTTTCGGGGCTTTTCTTTCCTGCTTTTATTAAGACAAAGTTTCAGTTCAACACATTGGTTTCCCTCACAGGGATTTTTCAGCATTTCATTGCTACAAAAAACAAATGGCATACACTCCTGGCATAGACTTGCAGTGCTGCTGCTCTGGCCTCAATCCTTGGTCCCTTGTCTTTCTCTTCTGGATAGCCTTCTCACAGAAATTTTATGCATGCATCTAGCTGCTTCTTGTTGCACTTGCTTCCACCTGTATTCTAGATGGAGCTGTCCTGACCCCTGAGCTGAGACACCCTCTTTCTGCTGGGGTGGAGCCTTAAATCAGTCATGTCTCTACTAAAAACCCTGCACAGTGATTATGCAAGATCCAGGACTGGAGCCTTCATTCCTCCCAAATCTCAACAAAGCCTCTGGATTCTAGGTCCCAAACCAGGTTTTACCAGCCTCTGAGGAAACTGGAAATGCAGTTTCCTCCGTTTGAAACAAGCAACATGGAGCCCCTTAACAATTGCCTAGATGAGAATCCTGGGTGACATATAACCCTTTTCACACCATGGTAGGGCACAGCATTGTCATACTCATTAGGTTGTACTATCATGGTCAGGATGACAGCCTTCAAAGTCGACAATGACAGCTCCCATATTTCTGTTGTAAAAGGTTTTGTGTGTGTGGGTTTTTTTTTTTTTTTTTCAAAACCTGCTTTGAATACATATCAGGACATATAGTGCACAGGATTGACTCAACCATGTTTATAACGTTTATGTAGACATTGGTAATTATAAACTGTACTTAAAGCCTAATGCTAGGAAAATTAAAAAAAAAATGACATGGGCATAACGAGCAGTGGCACCCCAGCATTGCAGGGGTGGATTGTTTCATTTTCCTGAAGTTGGGATTTACAGAGAAATCCCAGGAAGCAAATAAAATCCATCAGGAAACTGCTTAATCTCTCCAGGCAACATTTGTAACTATATTCAAATCAGAGGTGCTTGGTTATACTTTGAGTATGATGTTTATAAAAGTCCAGCACATCCCGGTTTAGTGGGCTGCCTACAGAACTTTGGGGTAAAACTGCAGCACCTCTTCACATTATCCTGAGCTAGACAATCCTTTAGTTTGTTGGTTTACTTGAGGGTAAGGTTGCAGTGGCCTTTGACAAACTGGGTTGGGGGGTCAGATTGAGCGACATTAACAAAATAAAGGATACTTTGTCCTGTAAGAGTTTAGCGAACAGGTAAGCCAGCTCCACAAAGTGAATTCCAGAATTAAACTTGTACCTTCTAAAGGAGAAATAAGTAGGCTGACATTTCTGGAATCCTTTTGAAAATTCCAGTTGCCTGGCTGTTTCTGATTTGGTATTTATAAATCCCAAACATGGAAGCAAAATGCAGCAAAGTCAGTCTTTACTGTTTCACTTGTTGGTGAGTGACTCTGAAGATGTTAAATGCAAACCAGGTGACTAGCATTTGTCAAGGACAGCCTATATTTTTGTGAGATCTGTGTAAGAAATTGATGTAAAACCCCTGCTGAGTCTCCTGATAGTTTTCATTTACACTAGAATGCCATACATAACATTTATGAGCTTATAATCTAACACTTTTCCTTCTCCCCTTTTTTTTTTTTTTTTTTTTTTTTTTTTTAGTTTGCAATTGGTTCTCTGATGGACGACTACTTAGGTGAGTATCTGATGTGCTTGGTTATTATTTACTGTTTCTTTTATGTTCATGATCTGTATTTAAAGCAGACATTTACTATAAAGTAGTTGCCTTTTTATTAGCTGTGGAAATACTGTGCAGACTATTATTTAAAAGTTTTTAAGGTGAATTTAATTCATTTTCAATGAAGCACTGTAAGGCTGTGTTTCTATTACCTTGCTCTTGTGGGGTTAGCAACACATAAAACATAAGTTGGAGATTAGAAGACATTCTGTAAATATTTCCATAAAGGCCTGCTAAATTAGAGTAGGTTGTAGTAAACCATGTTTATCACAACTGCAACCTACCATTGAGAAGAGTGTCCAGCTGTCTGCATTCAGACTTTTTCTCTTTGATTAAAACTCCAGTCTGAACAGTCAAGTAGGGACAGGGAGAGATGGAGTAGAGCAACCCCTCCTGGGGGGAAAAAAACCCCCTGGAGTCCCACTTGCTTGCCTTACATGTCGCTATAAATTAGAAGTATTTTTTTTATTGAACTTGGTCGTAATATTAAGCTCAGAAGCAAACATTTATTATATTGTAGCTTACCAATTCTGAGATGGGATGGCTGCGTTAGTTTTCTTTTTAGGCTTTCTCTTTATTTTCACCTGATGATCCTGCCAATAAGTCTTTTTGTTTTTCAACAGAACAGGCTCTCCTGCAGATGTAGCAGTTACAGGGTTGAGAAAACCATTTACTACTGGCAGTGGTGCTTACAACTGTTTGCTGTAAATGCTTATGAAGTGTTAGCTTGAGTTCAGCTTCAATTTATGTTATCTAAATCTGTTTGTCCAACTAACACTCCCCTTCCATGAGATTAGCAATGTTGTTGTCGAAAAGGTGCCCCTGTGCTCCTTCATCCAGAGCGGATGCAGTCTAATACAGAGGGTGTGTTACTGGCCAGATCACCAGGTGAAAATGGAAGGGGAAAAAAACATCTAATGATTGGCAAGCTGCAATAGATTACATTTTTGGTTTATTACCACTTTAAAACATTAAAATGGTTTTTGGGCCCTGAACATAAAAGAAAATGTTAGAATATGAAATTCTCCCTTTTAAAGCTTGGTGCACATTTAAGCAATGCTATTAACAATTTTTCTCTTATGCCTCTGCAGGTCTGGTGAGCTGATGTGGTCCACTTGCCGTCAGACAAAGCTCCTTTTATGCCCAGTGTATTATAGTAAATTGTGTGTTACGTTTTGGCGCCATTTGACAGTCAGCACTCGGTAGAAACATTTGCTGTATTAGCCACATAAGGCTCAATTCACTTACTTGTAATGATTCTTATTTTTAGCAAGAATAAAAGTAAAATCTTTTGAAGTAGGAATCGTTCTGGCACACTCATACAGTATAGCCTGGTGAACTTTCACAATGGTAATTGAAATGGTCAACTCTGGTTTCAAAGAATGTTATTTTATTAAAAAAAATAATAATTTAAAAAATTAATGCAGTCTCAAGAGTTCATATTTTTCTTTTTTTCCTTTTTTTTCCTCCTCCATCACTGCGCCTGATGGGTACTGTCTTTGTTGTAGAGACAGGTATGGATTGTAGAGAGCATTCCAACATCCGGTACCTTGCTGTTGGCTTTGAAAAGTGTCCACAGGTGTCCAGCAGCTAATCAACGGAGTGAAATGGCCTCATCTCTGTTAGGGCTCATTCACACTTGACTGTTTTACCAACTCTTGCCAAACGCGTCTGGCAAGCGTTGGCCTGGCGTTTGCAGAGAGTTTTTTAACGCTCCGCAAACACCGCATGCGCGGTTCAGCGGCGGTTGCTAGGCGTTTGCCAAGCGTTAAAAACGCCACACAAACGCCTATAATGAAGTTTGGTGTTACCGCTCCGCAAACGTGTCGCAAACCCCACCGCAAACGCCAGCCGGGCATTTGCGGAGCGGCACCAGAGACTAGAATAGGAGGCTTCAACGCCTCCTGACTTGACCAGAGGCGTCCATTTTGCACGACGCTAACGCTCCCGTTAGAACAGCACCATGTGCTGCAATATGCAGAATTGTCTGAGGCATTTGGGAAGCGGTAAAAACTCTTCCCAAATGCCTTTCTGCCACCTGCACACAATGCTAGTGTGAACGTAGCCTAACTGTTTTTCTTTTCACTTTTTAATGAAAATAGAAAGTCCCTTTATAAAATAAACCTGTGACCTCTAACGTCAAACATTTTCTAGATAAATAACCGATATAACGGAATTGGGTTAATAAGATTGCTTTTCCACTATTTGAATGCTTATATTGTATGTCAAGGCAAATTCTCATTAAGTACCATATAATTATAGAAATATTATTATACAGTATTTATATAGCTCCAAAAGGTTTGCTCAGCGCTGTACATGAGAATCTCGAAGAAATGCGCTCTCCTTCGAATTTCCTGTTGTGACTAACAATGCAATACCTTTCCTGAATTGAAATTGCAAGAGCTAGTGTCATTGCTGCCCAGTTGCCTTTGTTTAAAATGCAGAATCTCTTGTGACTCTTTCCATTTTTACAACATTGGTAGTAATTGTTTGGTTGTCCGTTATAAGAACTAGAAGGGCTAATTACACTTCTGGAAAAAACAGAACAGTGCTAAATTTCATTGTTTGGGTTTACCTATACCTAAACTGGGACAGAACACATGTGCTGCGGTTTGGATCCCCAACACAAGGAAGCATTTTTACTCACAATTTTAAGGTACCCTCAGCGTCAAACATTGTTAAAACCACTTGCCATTGAACCCACTCAATGTGAGCTTTTGCATGATCATGAACGCTAGACACAGAAGAATACTTTATAGAAAGGTGTTGACACATCACAATGAACACTATTCTATGCAGTATTGAAAACTACGGACTCTGGAAGAAAAAGGAAGGGGCCAGCTTATCATGTTGACAGGTTAGAATATCTATGTTGAAAATCTTTACAATTTTTTGACCTTGGCAGTGGCAGGCCCTGCAGAGTAATTCATTCTCAAAGATCAAAACATAGGCAGTTTAACGTTATCAAATCCAGTACCATTATGATGCACAAGCCTCCAAAAGAAACTTTTTTTCTGACTGAGCTAAATCCATCATTTTGTGTCTCAAGCCATACCATCCTAGACACTGCAGCTCACAGTGGGAGGGTTCCAGCAACAGGCTCTACTTGCAATCCGGAACACCGTGGGCAGGACTAGGTGTGGCCAGGTACTGATTTGACCAGCTACAGTAACAGTGCTATTAGCTACACTCCCCTGCAACATTTTCATAATTCCACCGTAGTGAAAGCAGGCATAGCCTACATGAGAGTAGTAATTCTGCTCTGAATTCAGGAGCAGTGTAGAAATGTTACCACACCATCATAGGATGAGGTGAACTTCACTGGTGGGATCAACAGGTATTTGTGGGACTTTTGCAGTAAGACTAGGAGAAACTGTGAATGCATTTATAATGAAATTCTGCTATGACATGAGAGAGCGCACTACTTCATGCTACTTGGTTACCTTGCATCATAAAGAGCCATTTGTTCCATCTCTATTGTTACTAAATTCACCCCTTGTTGCTCTTGCCTTAGGCCACATGATTGATGGCACTGTATACATACTATAGTATGTGACATAGCTATATTGTGTATTATGTTTGCTATGCCTGCATATTGCTTTTCCTATTCTTTCTTCAATGATAATTGTGTCAGCTTGATCATACCTGGTTAAATTTTAGAAAGTGATACTGCCAGTTTCAGCATTGCTGTTGAGTTGAGGCATGAATAGTTGACAAGGTTGTGATATTTAACCAGACACAGCTCATTTCCTTTTCTATACAGAAAAGGAGTGCTTTTTGTAATCTGTCAGTTGGCCGTGACGGAGACAAGATCACAGCAGTTCCAGAAGCTTTGGTGGTGTTGGGCACCTCACTGCCCCTCTCTTGATTAGCCATCTGCTTATTTATAACTGAACGGCAGTTATAGTCATCTATGAAAGGGGTCTCCAAACTTTCTAACCAAAGAGACCGTTTACCGTTCTTCAGACTTTGGGGGGGTTGGTCAGAGTGGTCAGTGGGAATAAAAAAAAATAAATAAATGCCCGAGTGTCAGTGGGAGTAAACAATGTCTTGGGTTTGGAGAAGGAATAGTGCCCCATGATTGGTATCACTGGGAGGAATAGTGCCCCATGATTGGTATCACTGGGAGGAATAGTGCCCCATGATTGGTATCACTGGGAGGAATAGTGCCCCATGATTGGTATCACTGGGAGGAATAGTGCCCCATGATTGGTATCACTGGGAGGAATAGTGCCCCATGATTGGTATCACTGGGAGGAATAGTGCCCCATGATTGGTATCACTGGGAGGAATTGCCCCATGATTGGTATCACTGGGACCCTATCACTGGTGTCACTGGGATTATGACCCATCACTGGAATTGGAATGAAAAATTCCCCATTGATGGTGTCAGTGAGAGAAATGGTTCCCTACTGTTAATGTCATTGGAAGGATTTGGTGCCTCCTTGTGTGTTAATGGGAGGAATAGTGGCCCAAGGGACAGAAAAAGTCAAGCAAATGGCCGCAGTTTGGAGATCCTGATCTATGGTATAAAGTGTATCTAAACCCAAACACAAAAGTTTATTACATTGCAGTTTATCAATACGTAAAGTGATTGCTGCATTATTTTTTTTTCCTTTATTTCTCAACTATACAAAGATATTTTATTGAATTTTTGAAAGGCTGTGGCAAAACAACAAGCAAAGCATATACACAAAGGCATGTAACACTGTACTTCAAACGGAGCGGAGCTCCTCACAGCTTGCATTATAGAGAGCACAAGTACAGGGGTTGATAGAGTGTCCCACAGGAATATATAATGCGTGGCTTAATACAATAGCATACAGCTTGGAGACCCATGGGAATTTGGAATATGCAGTTCAATTTTGGGCACCAATTCAAAAAAAGAACATTGGGGAACTGGAGAAAGTACAGAGAAGGGCAACCAAACTGATGCGAAGCATGGAGGAGCTCAGCTATGAGGAAAGATTAGAGGAACTGAATTTATCCTTTCTTGAGGAGATTAAGGGAGGATATGATCAACCATGTATAAATACATCAGTGGTTCATATTGTGAACTCGGTGTAGAGTTATTCACCCTGAGCTCATCACAGAGGACAAGGGGGCACTCTTTATGTCTGGAGGAAAAGAAATTTAATCTCCAAACATGTAAAGGTTTCTTCACAGTAAGAGCTGTGAAAATGTGGAATAGACTCCTTCAAGAGTTGGTTCTGGCCAGCTCAGTGGATTGCTTTAAAAAGGCCTGGATTCTTTCTTGGATACACAGAATATAACTGGTTACTATATATAGGCAAAGTTGATCCAGGGAATCTCTGACTGCCTCTCGGGGGATCAGGAAGGAATTTTTTCCCCTGCAGAAGCAAATTGGATCATGCTTTGCTGGGGTTTTTTTTGCCTTCCTCTGGAACAAATGTGGGTGTAGGATTATAACTTTTTTTTTTTTGTATGGTTGAACTGGATGGACTTTTGTCTTTTTTCAGCTGGACTATGTAACTACAGTTGTGTTCAAAATAATAGCAGTCAGACATCACTAACCTGATCAATCACTGTTTTTGGTAAAAATTATATTTCTACGTGCCAAATCGTTTACTAGCAGGTGTAGCAGAGTAATAGAAATCCAACAGACCCAACAGTCATGACATGCATGCTGCTGAGTCTGTGTAATTGAAACACTAATTGAAAGGGGCATGTTCAAAATAATAGCATTGTGGAGTTCTATTAGGTCAGTCATTCTTTGAAAAACAGGTGGCAATTATTGCCCTTATTTAAGGAAGGAAGGCAGCAAATGTTGTACATGCTGGTTACAGTGTGTTTCTCTCTGAAATTCTGAGGAAAATGGGTCGTTCCAGACATTGTTCAGAACAACAGCATACCTTGATTAAAAAATTGATTGGAGAGGGGAAAACTTATAAAGAAGTGCAGAAAATGATAGGCTGCTCAGCTAAAATGATCGCAAATGCTTTGAAATGGCAACCAAAAACTGAAAGACGTGGAAGAAAGCGAAAAAAACTACCATTCGAATGGATTGAAGAATAGCCAAAATGGCAAGGACTCAGCCAACAATCAGCTCCAGGAAGATCAAAGAAGGTGTAAAGTTACCTGTGA